TTAGAAATAAAAGAAATGGAATTGATAGTTGATAAACAAAACGCTCAATTTACGTGGAAGCTTACTTTGCAGAGGGCTTCGGGAAACTACCAATCTAAAAAGTTTGTTATAATTTTCATACTGCAAAAATGATTTTTCAACCACCCAAAAAATATTATCCTCCAAGACAATACTTCCCCCTATAAACCTCTCCAGAGTCAACTCAAAAGCATTATTGCTTTTCAACCAAAAAATTCATCTCCAGTTTTCAGCCTCATTCAAGTAAATAAACAGGCTTCACTTCCAAATTTTCTACTTGGTCCACAAATTCGAATCCACCAAAATGATGACTTAAACCCCCCTTAGATTGGGTCAGACTACCTCATGCTTAAATTTCGTCGCAATCCCGCGACGGTGACGCGGATATTTCCGCGGTGGTTATCACGGGGGAGTGGGCGCGCGCATCGCGGTACACCGTGTCCCGAAGTTCGAGCCACCTGTGGCTGCGGCCAAGAGGGTCGCGTTCGTTAGAAGGTACAGGTGCGAGGAGCTACCGTTCGCTAAGTCAAACGTCGAAACTGGGCTACACCGAGTCACGCGAAATTAGGTCCTAGACCGTCCCTACGAACTGGGTCACCCGGTACGCGCGCAGCCGGTCGGGGAGGTAGTGGATACACCTCCCTGACGTCCCAAACCTCGTGGAACTTATCACAAACCACCGACAACCGCGGTTCGCGATCGCTTTTCCGTGCTAACAGAGAGGGACGAGCCTCTATTCCAATAATAGACAACGAATGGAACGCTTTAGAAATCTAAAGCGAAGAATTTATGGACGGTGAATCATTTTTTTTTTAATGTGAGTATATTTTTACGATTAGACAATTTCTGGCGACAACCGGAGCTTTTCGCGCAATTGCTTTGCGGTACGAGCGCGTAAAAAGGAAGCGTTTCGAGGAACGGCAATGAGAACGGGTGGGGACGTGTGCGCGTTTCCTACTCCGATTCGTCAAATTATGAGGAAAGTTTCCTCGTCCTGGCTCGCTCTGGTCTAGTCGGTGGTAGCGCAATGGGAGACTATTATATAAATGAATGAGTTATGGGAACGTAACAGTGTTGTGGTTGCCTTAATGAAAAAACATACCTCTTCAATAACCCTTCTCCACAATTTGGAAGAAACTTTGCAGATTTGCCAAAAAATACTCGTTTTCTTTTAGCGATGGCCATTGAAGATGAAACTACCGGCAAGAAAAAGAATTCGAGATACGCGAGTGACATTTGAGCAGCCCGGTTGTTTCAATGTCAATAAACAAGGTACCTCGAGAAGCGTTCCTCATCCTTATCACGAGCACGATGAGAAAGCTACATCAGATTACTCGTATTGCCAAACGATGTTGGACAAATAGTTCACCCACTGTTTACGTAATTACTCGCTATTACATAAACTCGCGAGCTGGGGTTCCATAACGTAATCCAAGAATAAATCGTCGGTCGACGGGTAACGATGAACTCTCGCTAAGTGAGATTATTTCGTCTGCGTTGTGTATCGAGCGTAACCGCCTCGAGAGGGAAGCAACATGAACGAGAGCGTCGATCGGAGATAGGTAAAATTTTATTGGTGTAGCGAGCAACGAATAAAACCTGCCGGCAATGAATCATTCCGTGGCGTTTACATTCGATAGAGCCGTTGGATTTTTACTAAAATTCGATTTCATTACGCATCACTTCCGTATCAAAAATCAATATTTTCCAAACAGGAACAGGTTAAACGCGATTCCAACGCCAGGTGGGCGTTAATATTGCGTTTAAACTTTGTTTTGGATTTTATTGCGCTTCTACTAATTAAACGAATAAAAATACCAAATGGGAACTGGTTAATTAACAAACCAACCTTTTTCTCCTTCTTCCGGAAGAAAGGCTAAAACTAGAGTTTACCTTCGCGATTTAGCGTAAGATACACATGCTAACACTACCCACATTTTACTTCAATTTATATTCTATCTAACAGTTAAAACAAAACGTTCTTATTTGTTCGGAGTGAAATATAATCCAGGCTTCAATTTTTTGTATAAATCCTATAACGCAACAACCGGGGAGGTCATTAGCACCGCGCGGGTGACCCTTTGGCGACAGGGACAGAGGGCCGGACAGGTAATAAAAAACCATTTCGATCGGTAAGAGGCTTCACCGACGGCTGGCGGCCGACGGACGAGGAAGTGGACGATATCGAAAATGCTTCCTCGTCATATGATGCGGTTACGAAACAAAGACCAGCAAAGTGCTTATTCGTTCCAGAGAAAAATACCCAATGAAAGGTTTGCTCTTTGAATAAAAACGCAGCTATGAATCGTAGCATGAAATATCTCCGCAGTAAACGATCGAGCAAACACCACCGATAAATCGCTGTTGGTTTCGTCTTTCATCTGTTATTCGAATAAAATCCTATTCGTCTCTGGTAACGAACGCGTGCAAACACGCACGGCCGCCGTGATACCGAGCGTCGGATCAGCAATACATACGCGTTCTTTCTAGAGACTTAATAAGAGTCGCAAAATAACGTTTCCCCAAGTATTTGTTTCGCATTCATCTGTTATTACAATTTTATCTTCATTCTAGACAATTATCTGGTAAAATTTCTTCTGTATAGTTTTTCCATGTCGCGAGTGTAGATATAACCTAGTACTTAGAACTCTTCGAGACACGCGATTCAAAAGAAAACTCGAGTATTCCGGAAGAACAGTGATTCAAAACTTTGAATAAGATGTTACATCTAAAATATGGGAGATTCGAACAACCTAACCCCAAAGAGTTAAATCGTTCCGTCTTTTGAACGGAAGTGAAGCAGAACCGCGTGGCAGAGAGCCGGTCGACGAACGATTCGAAAGAAACGCAACGAGCGTTTCGTTTCACCGTTAAAGCTCGGGCGTAGAGCGAATGTTTACGATTTCGAACGATACGGGCTAGACGTCAACGAGCAAAACGCGCTCCGGAAGCGTGCGCGATCGTGACAGACGAGTGACGAAAATGTGGGGTTAGGAGTGCACGGGCGAGTACCCAGAGCGAAAATAAAAGGCGAAGCAACGGTGGTAACGGAGGGGAGGGGAATGAAGCCTTTTCAGAGCCAAATCGCGAGACAGAGAGTAGGAAGAAAACGAAGGAAAGCCAAGTAACTACTCGCGAGGAGCCTCTTCGTTGGCAAACGTCCCCCTCCCCGTCGCGACGGGAGCCTGATTTTTTGGATACTTACCACGCTTACACGATAGTGCACATAAGCGAGCAGTCATACATAGGCACACGCGCGCGTGAACGCAGGTACACGGGGCACGTACGTGCGAGCCACGGGCACTCGCACACGCCAGCCATACGAACCGAGAAACCCACACCCACTTACTGCTCGGTAGGTAGGTAGGACGCGACACGCTTCGGGGATATATATCACACTCTGTCCGTTAAAATACGTACGCGTCGTGATGCATATACACGCGGGAGCAGCACGCGTTTCGTTTTATCTAAGGTAAAGTCTCGGGCGTCGAATGTCGACGTGTGCGACGAGGTAGGACACCGGTGGAAGTCGGCAGTGGCGGCGGCAGCAGCACCAGCGGTGGTAGCAGCACCAGCGATTTAAGCCTCGTCTGCCACATGCAGCGAGTCTCCGATCTGGGATCGGCGACGAACGCGAGAAATACAGCCGGGAGACGGTGATCGCGTACCTCGGTGGGCGCACATCGGTACTCGGTCGTGTATGGAGTCGCGAGCACTGCCACCCCACTCTCTGTCTCGGTCGTTTTCTCTCTCTACGCCTAGCGCTCACTCTCTCGCTCTCACGGCCGCCGTTCGTCTCTGTCCTTCTTCGTTCGTTCTCCGTCGCTCTCTTTGGGTGTCCGTCAGTAACCTAGAAAGCGGTGGCGGCGGCCATTCAGGATTACGGGACTCCGTCCGTACGTCCGCCTTGTCCGAGAGAACGAGACCCACCGAACAGATACGCAACCCACGTCCCCGTAACGTCGATAACCCACGATATTTCTACCCCTTTTCACGAACGTTTCTTTACTTCACGGGGCCGAGGTATCCGTGAATTTTCATGCGGCACACGCACGGCACGCACACACTCCGCGACTCGCGACGTTCCAAGATGCAACGACGTCGCGTTTACTCGCTACTCGTACCACAGGATCGATTCAACGTTCGAATCGTACAAGGGATCCACTAAATTCACACCGTACTCCCTTAACGGGCTCACGCACTGCTCACTAGCCGCGATCTCTCACTCGAGGAGAGCGCACCTTCGCCACGACAGATCGCCGAGAGAACACTAGCACAGGGCTATGGGTGTGCTTCTTTTATCAGCGTATCGTCGTTCCGGTCGACGCGATACCCACGAGACCGGGCGGCCCTCCAAACTAACGACTTCAATACAAAATATATTTACCCATTTGTGACAGATTTTCCGTACGAGACGCACCACATTAACGACCGTCCCCCACCTATTATCACATACAGACATTACCACACTTCGATTTTTCAAGATGGCGACGCGCCGTCGTCGGCCCGAGACACGATGCGGACAAATTGTAAAGTTGCGTCGCCACCGTAGCGACGATTCCTAATACTACGACCGCGAATTTTTGAACCGTCGATAGCCTCGGAAGAAAACATCAACTCGAAGTTTCTTCTTCGGAGCTTGACTGATCTACGAGGTTTTAGGGCAAGAATGGAGCTTGAAATACTGGAGCCATTAATTATGATTTTATAACAGTACGGTTATTGATTCGCGAGATATGTAACGTTAAAGTTCTGATGGTTTGTTAACCTGCGAAAGTACAGAAACCATTCTCAAAATATAAACAAAATTCTTATGTGGGCACAGAATTTCGAATCTATTACTTAAGGAATAAGCTACTTTAAACGAGACTCGATTTAAAAATAGAGGATATGGAATATTCGTTTGAATATTATAAAAACCTAAATATCAATTTGATCGTAATAAATTAACGCAAGTCAGGTTGGGTATAAAGGGCCAAGGATGCAATTCGAACATAAGTTTATTGATTCTCCTAATCGAAATATTATGTTCAATGGTTCGTCATGCGATGAACGGTTAGTTAACCAACCGTTTAATCGAATAAACATTGCGAATATATCGCTGTACGGAGTTTCTATTTGTAATCTACTATTCAAAGAAAATTCTGACGAGCTCTGCCAAAAGTGTAGCGTAGTTGGTAAGGTGCTTGCCTACCGTACCGCGATCATTTGTTAGCCCAAGTTCGAGACCCTGTATAGATTTCGAAAAACGCTCCAACAGTGCTCGAATTAGTTGGTACTCTAATTAATGTAAAGTTATCTGACGATAGTTGGGTGTTTCGATAAGGGGGACGCCTAAAAAAGAATACGTCTTTTTGATATTTTCCGAAGTATATTATTTTACGCACTTCGATACAGCCCTATAACGTACGTTCTAAATTTCGTTCGAAAATATAGGACGACACCTCTGCCAGCAGATATCTAATCGGTAGCAAAATATTTTTGTAACAGTTCCTCGTATATATCTTTGTCAGTTTTAAGGAATAGACAAAAGATAACTCTATCCACCTGGAAGTTTAAGAGATTCGTCAGTAACCTGACGGTTCTTTGCGGAAATCGTGTAATATTTCGAAACGATATCCTGTTCTGAAAAATCTTACTGCGTCTTTGTTGTCGAGTAGGAACTTCTTGACCGTCGACAAAGCTACTTTGGCCGCCGGTCTTTGCGGATATCCATAGATTCCGGTTGATATGCAAGGAAATGCTATTGTGCGCAATTTATTCTCTTTGGCTAAGGCGAGACTATTTTCATAACATTCCCTCAACTTTTCAGGCTTTTCCCCTTGCGGGCCAACCGTATGAATGACATCTAAAATATTACATCTATGAAAGATCTATCTCTTGTACCTTGTTGTGCATACTAACACTTTGAGGGTAACATATAAGCCCCGGTTATTTTAGCTTCTCCGACGCGACATCCTCCCAAAGTTGCACACTCTTTCTTTAAATTTGGTCCTGCAGCTCGGTGAATAGCTCCGTCAACTAAAGAATATTTCACACCCTTTAGTGAGTCATATATTCCTTCCTCTAGCTTTGCTATTTAATATTTATTATGTACCTCCTCCACCACCGAGAAGTCTAGAATTTGCAGCATTGACGATAGCGTCTATCTCTAGAGATGTGATATCGCCCTGCCACATTGAAACTTTGTTAGCTAACTCGTTGTCAACTTTCTCGACTTTCTCAAGTGTCAACAAGCCGATATTGGATTTATTTTTATGCCAATAGTCCACCCATGTTGGAATTTGATCTAACGTGGTAATGCTTCCCTTATAGTATTTCCTTTTCTCTTCCATTGGCATGGTTAAGAATTTCTCTATTCAAAAGAGGACAATCATAATGAATACCTCTACGCGCTTTCCGTAGGATTTGTATCGATACAATGTCGATTCGAGAATTAAAATGCAAACTTGTACGATTGAAACTATCAACCTTTACGTAACTAAAAAAAAATTTAAATAAAGTGTGCCTTACGTTTTTCAACCTCGAACGACATGCTTGCTTCAGGATTGACAGCTGTGACAAAATTCGATCCAGACAGGGGATTCTGAACGATCAGTCGAAGTAGGACGGCAACTGGTAAACGATCGGCGAGCGTCGCCTGGAAATCAGAAACAATTCTCTTCTCACTACGACGTTCACTCGACTCGTGGTATCCTCTCGTCCCTTACTCTGAGAGCGAACATAGTCTTCTATTCGAAAAAGACGTTAACGACTTTTGTCAGTCATGAATTCTCGATCCTTCGAACGGAAAATTGAATCTAACTACGTATTTTCACGGTTTCGCGTCGGAGTCGAACTTATTTGCAGAAAAAGTTTCAGGAAAATCGCGTTGTTTTGCTTCTATCTGATTAACCACAATCGCGACCGGCAATAACGCACTAATTTGTTGATGGCGCAACGGGACACATGTGGCGACATCTAACGGGAAATCGTCCGAATTATTCAATTCTCTTCTTGTACACATGCGTCATCTACTGAGGGGTTCCGAGAACTATATTTAAATTGCGATTCATTTGCTGTGCTTTATTATTATTTCATTCGGAAAAGCTCATAGGAACATGAAATAAGTTCAAAAACAAAATGAATTCATTTGTACCTTGATTCTTTTATGTAAAAGTTGAAATTTACGATGAATGTATTGCTTTGGAATACAACTTCTCTGCATTTACCTCGATGAACGAAGCATGAGCGATGACGTGTGTAGTAGTGACGTCATTCCTGTTCTTGAAATACTTAGAATGATAAAAAGTACGACGTAAGCAACGTGTAAACGTCAAGCTAAACATACCCTGAGTGCCCTCTTACTCATAGACGTACGTGTAATAAGGGTAGTCTAACGCCAAATGCCTTATTTTCCAGGACCGATAAACCCATGGCCGAATCAAAATTATTTTAACAGAAATAGAGGACCTAATGTAATCTTTTCTCTTTAAGGATCCAATAGACTTGAGTCCCCCATTAAAGATACCGCCTATGAGTTACCAGAAAGCAAGAATAACTCTCCGACTCGAACCTTTGTCCTTTTCAAAGAAAGCGTCCATTTGTAGCTTAGTCAGTTAACGTAGACACTAAGTTTATCTTCGATTTACTTCCCTCGACCCCCGCGCCCCCCCCCGTCCCCCTGGTCACCTGCGCAAACTTCCCCGAAGTTCGTCGGAAAATGCCGTATAACGACGACAACTTGAACTTTCCACGCGACCAACCGCCCACGCGATGCTCCGATGCACCAAATCTGTCCTGCGACATCGTTTCTCGTGCCCTTTAATTTCGTGCGGGGGTGGTCTCGTGTGGTGCCATACCTCATGTATCTACTGATCGCGGGACGGTCGCTCTCGAAACTTTCACCAAGTATTATTACTATAACGTCCTTTTTACGCAAATTGGATGAAAGTGAACGCGGCGTAACATATTAATAACGCGAAGGCTATTTTTAAGAATGATACAGAGGGAAAGGGAACAGGTAGATAGGATTGTTAACTCTGTTAGGATTGAAAGTACGATTGGGAGATCCAAAATGTTGGAGATATTAACCTTGAATAATATTTTGTATAGATTAGGGGTTTTTATGTTTTCTGAAAATTCTGTTTTGTGCTTTGCCTTCTTCGAGTACGAGATACCCCTCACCCCAGAGGTCATTCTCTCCAGATTTCAGTACGTAGTCATCGATATTAATGCATCTGTAATATTCTAATAAACCTAGCACAATATTTTCTAGTACACCCCAACAATTTAATAGGGGATGTTTAACGAGTGTTAATTCTTTGATCAGTCTATCAACCGTGGTTTAATGATTCCTTCCGTCCTCGTAAAATTTTGATGAGGGTGGAGAACATTCCTCCGTTTTCGACTCGATATACAATACCTAGCGGAAATGAAACCGGGCCAGTCCACGAAACCGGAAATCGATGCTTCGATCCATCTGTAAAAAACTCCAGAGAACCAATTCTGGTTGGTCGACCTTATCAATGGTGAGATCTGTGCGCGAAGGCCATTCATTCAGCGGCGAAGGTGGTTCGATTCGAAAGGGTCGGTCGTATTCCAACTCATCGAGTGAATGAAGAGGAACGCCGACGCCCGACGTCACCAGCAACGCCACCCTGTAGAGAATCACTGAACGAGAGAACCCTGTTTCTTCACACACCCATATACAGGATGATCTAGCAATTGCAGCTCAACCTGGATGGGGCGAATCCTTTCAAAACAAAGACTGTACAATTAAATTTAGTTGCACAGCATAGGAGGATAAGCGAGAGGATAATTGTCTTCCTATTCGATCTTCGTCGACTCTGTTGAGTGCTTCCGGTTGTGAAGTCTCTGCGAACGGTGAGCACGCAAACTAGTGGCGCCACTAGTTTGCATGCTGAGATCTGATAGACATTAAGTGCCGAGAGACATGGTAAACAAACATTTAAAGTTTCCCTCTAGGCCTCTAAAGGTTCTATACTAAACAATTACACAATGTAGAGATTATTCTCAGAACCAAACAAGTATTTCTTACGCTCCACGAAGAAATTAAAATGTAAGCAAGAATATATACTTATGTAGAAGAATCTTACTTTTTCTTTTCAATATATTTTTGTTCGCAGAATCATCCTCCTCCCTTCCGTGCAAGGATTAGCGGGACACCCTGTATAGAAGGACATCGCAGCGCATGCTGAAAGCTTCTGGTATCGATCCGTCCGCGCCTGAGCTTTCTCGTTCGCCTCACAAGCTTCGCGAACGTCGCCTGGATAGAATCGTCTTGCGTGGAACTGCGCCGAGAGCAGGCGTATTTTTTTTCCCCGATTCTCGCTATCCAGTCGTGATTTTCCAGCGGCAGCTATCGCGGAACACTGAACTAGGGACGATGGCGCGTCGCGTGGACTATGCCAAGGCGATCATCATATTGTGTGAGTTTTATTCGACCGGATACTATGCGCGTCCGTGTAAAATCGCACGAGTCGACCGATTGGTTCTGCGACAGAAAGCCCAGTGGTTTCGTCGTGACGCAACTTCCGATGTAACCGGAGATGGGCAGAATTTTATTCGAGTAAATGTAGACTAAAGTCATTCATAAAATCGTTATTCGTGAATCAAGGTTGCAGCAAGGCTCGTGTTAATTTACTTGTATCTTGAACATTCGGAACGAAAAGATTTCTGTAAGAATTTTGTGAGCATAGGAGTTTATTCTGTAAGTGAAATTGGTATTATTTGTTATTCGAATTTGGTCCATCTCTGGTGCAACGGGGTTTTAGCGTTAATCGAGGTGTACTCAGCATGGGAGTGATCTTGATGTCGCAGTTTACGTTGGTCTGTGTTGTTGGCTATGCGATGAGATATTTTTATCAAACGCGGAAATTGATTTTTCTTGTTCCTGATTCTTGAGACACATGGAGATAGAATTATCAGTTTTTATTTTAGCTAGATTCATGTGATTCTGACTCAAGATCAGGAACGTTTGCAGAACAAAAGTAGAAGATGGCTCTGTTAAATTTGTTTAAGGTATTGAGAAGGGTTGAAGAGACTGTCACAAGGTTCGCGATGGTTTCTTTTCCAACGTCGAGTTGAAAAAACCACCCCCTATCGTCCTCAATATTCCAACTATTAGAAACAAGAATATTCAAATCAACCAAAACCAATCTAGAAACTAGCAACGACAGATGTTTTAACAATCGAACATGTTTCAAAAGATAAGCACCGGTCACGGACATTCGTCGAGTCTCGTTTACGGTTCAAAGTTCCGCGAGATCGCGACTTCTCGATTCCTCGATCGCGATCGTCGCTCGAGCAACCGTTCATTTCGCGCGGAGAGCGTGCGGTGTTTCCATTTAGATCGTTGATCCACGTCTCGAGGGGTAAAAATCCTAGCGTGACTTAGGCTACTCGCGTGACGTATCACCGGTCTCGGGGAAAGATAGGCGACACGTTTCTCCAAATATTTCGCGCGATAAGCGCGCGGTGCGAGGCCCTTAAGGAGTCAACCACCTCGGAAATGCTTTCGGTCTGAAGCAGATAAACTGCGAAATTACTTTCGACTAAGAAACAAACGAATTTATTCCCCGCAGGGTGCGTCTCGAGCACGGCATTCAGCGTCCCCAGCCCTTCGTCAGCGCCGCTGAGATTGAACGACGAACTCTACACGACACGCAGGGCGGTCCAAGTCCTCGTCGATCTGCCCGTTTCCAATTCCAAGCTACCCCTGGTAAGAATTAAGAAAATCACCCTCTAGAAACGCAAACAGCGAGTGCGTACTCCGCGCATAGTGCCCGAGAGTCTTGCGCCTAGAACCTCCTAGGTCCAAGGACCACCGAACAGGGCTTCTCCCAGCGCCACCCAGTGTGCACGATGATTCTAATAATTAGTCCCCTTCGTCGTTATGCGACTCATCAAGGACGGGGAAGCTTTGTTCGACTCTGGTCTTCAGCGTTGTCAAGGTTGTTTCTCACTGGCGAACATTAATCCAACCCCGTTTAACCCCGACTCGAGGGACGAAAGGGACTTGTCGCGACCGTAAATAAATATTTCACTGTTGCGGAAGTCTGCGTGGGACTTTGTACGCGATCGATACACGCATCGGAAATAGTAAACGCGTTGTAATGTACAGGAGGAGCAATTATGTAAATTGATTCGTAGGATGTGACCTTTTCCCGCTGTCGAGGGAGCAGGCCTTGTGTTGGTGTTAATGGTAGGTGTTTGCACATGGGAACACCGATTTCAACGATTAAAGCATTAGTCCGCGATAACGTTTAGCGTTTCGTCGATACTTCTACTATCTATAACAAAAAGGAAGCACCATTGTTTTTATTCGATTTTAGTTTCACTTATGCATTCATGGCGGAGGCTTTAGCGCACTATGACGGAGCAGGTGTATCATGTTTTCATAGTGTGCACTACGATTTGCATTCGAGATAATTCGTTAAATATAGAGTCGAAGACGGTGCTGTTTAACACCGATAAGATCGTAGATCGCGATCGATCGCTGCTCTAAAGCTATGTGTAAGTACAGCCTGTTGCTCGTCGAGCATTTGCATACGCTGTCTCGGTGTACACAGAGTAAACCCAATGAGTATACACCCTCGTGATTAATTTTTCCATTCTTTGATATTTTTAAATTCTCGCGTAATACTTTGGCGAAATTCATTCTATAGGTGTATAATTCATTCTATAGGTGTATAATACTCGCGCTCGTGTCATTTCAAATAATTTTAATTTCTGGATTACGTTTTCGTTATTTAAACATGTAACGTGAACAATATTTCCAAGCCGGTGGTGAACTCTGAGCTGTGGACCACGACGACGATACCCGCGGAAACGACAACGACGACGACGACGACGACAACGCACAGGACGTTCTCCGCGGAGCAGCCATTGTATCGTTTGGACGGCAGCAATGGGCAAGCCTGCATCCTTCTGCAAGTGGA